ATCTTTGGTTGATTTAATTCTGAATGATTTACTGGAATGAGTATTAGAATAATATCCATAACTGGATCGTATCTGTACCGCTTTTGAAAGATATGTTGAATGAGTGTCAGAATGAGATCCGCATATGGATCGTATCTGAACTGTATTTAAAAGATGTATTGAATGAGTGTTAGAATGACATCCGCATCTGGATCGTATCTGAACTATATTTGAAAGATGTATTTAATGAGTGTCATAATGACATTCGTATATGGATCGTATCTGAATTGTATTTGAAAGATGTATTGAATGAGTGTCAGAATGACATCCGTATCTGGGTCGTATTTGGACTATATTTAAAATAATCTGGAATAAGTATTAGAATGTCATCTGTATCTAGATCATATTTGAACCGTTTCTAGAGAGAATATGGAATAAGTATCAGAATGTCATCCGTTCTGGATCGTATCTGAACTGTTTCTAGAAGAGAATCTGGAATAAGTATCAGAATGCCATCCACCTCTGGATCGTATCTGAACTGTTTCTAGAAGAGAATCTGGAATAAGTATCATAATGTCATCCATATCTGGATCGTATCTGAACTATTTCTAGAAGAGGATCTAGAATAAGTATCAGAATGCATCCATCTCTGGATCGTATCTGAATTGTTTCTAGAAGAGAATATGGAATAAGTATCAAAATGACATCCATCTCTGGATCATATTTGAACTGTTTCTAGAAGAGAATCTGGAATAAGTATCAGAATGTCATCCGTATCTGGATCGTATCTGAACTATTTCTAGAAGAGAATCTGGAATAAGTATCAGAATGTCATTCGTATTTTTATTGTATCTGAACTATTTCTAGAAGATAATCTGGAACAAGTATCAGAATGTCATTCGTCTATGGATCGTATATGAAGTGTTTCTAGAAGAGAATCTGGAATAAGCATCAGAATATCATCCGTATCTGGATCGTATCTAAACTGTTTCTAGAAGAGAATATGGAATAAGCATCAGAATGTCATCCACATCTGGATCGTATCTGAACTATTTCTAGAGTGAATCTCGAAATTCATGAGAAGGAATCTGTGTAGGGCCGCTTCGGGATGAGTCCATGTGAAACTTCAGCTGGAAATGTATGAGAAGGCACCTGGGTACGGCTACTTCATGATGAGTCAGTGTGAAACTTCATCTGGAAATTATGGGAAGGAACCGGGGTAGGGTTGCTTCGGGATGGGAAGGAATCCGCGTAAGATTGCTTCATGATGAGCCCGTGTAAAGCTGCATTTAGAAATTATGAGAAGGAAACTGTGTAGGATTTCTTCATGATGAGTCAATTGTGAAACTTCATCTGGAAATGTATGAGAAGGCACCTGGGTAGGACTGCTTCATGATGAGTCCATGTGAAACTTCATTTGGAAATTATGAGAAGGAACCGGGATAGGGTTGCTTCAGGATGGGAAGGAATCTCTGTAAGATTGCTTCATGATGAGTCCGTGTAAAGCTGCATTTGGAAATTATGAGAAGGAACCTGGATAGGGTTGCTTCAGGATGGGAAGGAATCCGTGTAAGATTTCTTCATGATGAGCCCGTTTGAAGCTGCATCTGGAAATTATGAGAAGGAACCTGGGTAGGGTTGCTTCATGATGAGCTTGTGTAAAGTTGCATCTGGTCACGTAGGTAGTTGCTTTGTCTTGCTTCAGAAACTAATCTCGGAACTGTTGAAAATTGTTGATGATAATTATCTGTTCATTGATCTTTTCTGAAAAGGTAAAGAGTTAGTTGTATGCAATATCATGATGTATGAAATACATTGTGTAATGGTGTTCTCAAAATAAATGAGATTATGCTATATGCGTTTCGTATGCATATGCTATGACGTATGAAATGTTAAATGTTGTTGAAGTGTATCTTTGTTTGGGAAAATAAATCCTTGACAAATGCTGGTGAGCCTTGGGAAATGAAATCTCGGACTGCTGCTGGAGATGAAGAGTATGTTCCTCTTCAGAACTTGTTTTAGGATGTTTCCGCTGAGGGTTCCTATTATGTTGTTTGAGGATAACTCCACTGGGGAATGTTGACTTTGCTTGAGAAGATTCTATGGAGAGTGTTGATTTCTGCTTGGGGAAAAGAGTTCAGGAGTTTTAATTGTCCGTTTCTCTACTGGGGAGTTATCTCTTGATTGGAGAGAATGGAAATTAACAACTTGTTGGGGATAAAGAAGTTAACTGTTATCTGGTCGGATTCCATGCTTCGTAGCAACTCACCAGGGATAGTGGAAAACTCTACTGGGGAAGAGGAGCTTTTAAACTATTATCTGGCCGGGTCCAGGATTTGCAGTAACTTTCGGAGATAACACTGACTTTGTTGATGACTTCACTGGGGATTAGGGGTTGTGGTCCCTTAATTTGTAATAGTCTGATAGGCAAACTCAAGCTGGGGAATCTGTAGTTTGTTGGGGAAATAAACCTTATTGAAGAGAATATTTGATGAACTGCTGGGGAGGTGTTTTCTTTTGGCAGAACTCCTCGAGGATTCTTCTTGAGACAAACTCAGCTGGGGAGAAGTTTTCCAGAGACTGAAACTCTGGTTGGGGATTGCATGGATCCAATCTTATAGGGATATCCATGAATTTGGCCTTGTGGGGCTTGTACCCTTATCGGTGAAGATTATTATGTAGGGATAACCTTATAGAGATGGCTCCGTGGGGACTTGTCACTGTCCATAGTAGTAAGTGTTGTAGCGCTTCCAGAAAATATGTTCTTGGTGTTGTACCCCAATTTCCCCCCCTAAGATCCCTCATCATACTTTGTACGTTTTGCACATAGCATTGGTCTCGTGGTTATAAGATCGAAGAGCTTTGGCATTAGGGTTTCTCTCTCTGAATGGAGGCTGTCGTCTTGCTCAAAATTGATTCAACTTGCGCTCTCATTTTTCTTGGCATGAGATTAGGGTTTTGGATCTCAAACAGCATAGATGTCCCCGCTATCATATTTCCTCAAGATAAAACTTTTTCTTCATCAGAGTTCTTTCAAGGAATAAAGGCATTAGGGTTTAAATCAGCCAGAGAATCAGGATTTATATTCATTTTATTGGAACTTGGTAGTGATTCCTCTATAATGGTTTATTGAATTAATGTCTCACTCCAAGGCTGCATTGAGCACTACTCTTCCCTTATTGCGAGTTCATCATCATCAATCAGGGTTTATTCCAATCTTTATATCTTAATACATTCCTCTCAAGAAGTTCAGAAGATTTAGTCAAGGGCTTAGTTCTTTTAATGCTAGTTGTTAAATGGTTAACAATTGGTTGAAGAATTCATCGAATCAATGTGCTTATTATTGATTAAGCTACAAATTAAGAGCTCCCCAAGCTTGTTGATAGGATTTGTATGGTTTCTTGAATTTGAGATTCAATTGAGGATTTAGATTCATTGACCAAGATGGCGCAAAAGATAAGCTTGTGAACTCTTTATGGTCAAAGATGCATTTCATGGTGTTTGCAGTGATCAATCAATTTTAGAAATTAATGATCAATATAAGGTGTCCCACTTCAATAATCAGAACTACATTGTGCTATCAACTTAAGGGTGTTACAAGTCTTCCTACTATGTCTTATACGAATCTTTGGATTTTCATCCATGATTTCATTCAAATTGTTATGGGCAAGGAAGGAACCAAAATATTTCATTTGAAGGCATTCAAGCATCCAAAATAGTGAAGTTGAAGAAAACGATTAAGGTTGTGCAAGTTGCAATTTAAAGATTGTTTTGAAATGTCAAATAAAGAAAGTCCTCTCACGTTCTTAAAGAGCAAGACTTCACGAGTCAACCAATGAAAAGTGCTTAAAACTTATAAAGAGAAAGATGTTTCAGAAAGTGTATCATTTGGATTTACAAAGTTACAATACAAGATTGCGGTGTATGGTTATGTTTCAAGAACTTTGTTACCTTTCCAAGTTTTCAAATACTTCATTCCAATTACGCCACAAAAGAAAAGTCAAGTATATTACAAGAATGCTTCAAGTTTGCATTGACATCCTTTAAGTTTCATCTACAACATTCATGGTTACATTCAAGTTACACGTAAAACAAAGCATAAACCTATCCTAAGTCTTCAAGAGAAATGCTCCACAGCTAATTCTTCTTTCGAACAACTCTTCATACCACTTGCTACTATATGTTGAACCATGACATTTTCATCATTTCCTTCAAACCCCTTGCCATGAAAACGGGCCCGTATCACCCAAAACAGCTTGCATATAATAATTCAAACCAGTTGAATTTAACAGCAAAAACCAATTCCAGAACTTCTGTAACAGAAAAAAAAAAGGAGAGTTCAAAATTAAATCAGAAAAGAGAGGGGAAGAGGCTGCTTGGTCTGAATCTCAATGGCTTTCTCATTTGTAATTCATATTCTTGATTATTTCAGCCTGGTTTTCTTCAAAGGAGAAGAATGTACGAGGTGATTTAACATGTGATGGAAGTATATAAGCTGCTAGTTGCTTGAGATCAATCCCACTGTAACGATGCTGAGTATTGAATTTCTGATAACTACATGTAAAAGGAAATAACAGTTAGCAACTTCCTGTAACTGAAGCCTAACAGAATTTCAATTTCCCAACAGAATCTAACAGCTCATTCCTAACCTTTTTTTAACAGATATTCTAACTGTTCTAAACATAACTAACAAACAGAACGAAATTCCCAAACGAACTCTCTAACAAAATTTCGACTAACAAATTCCTAATTGCTTCTAACTACTTCAAATAGGAGATAAAAGAGAGGACGGGAAATAGAAGAAAAAAAACTCATAAGAAGGATATATGATTCAACATAGAAAAAACTCAAAGAGATTTTTCCTTTCATTCTCTTCATCACCGTCACGATCCATTCTTCACCATATCGGAGAATCACCGACCTTCATCATTCTGATAAATTTCCAGAAATCTCTACCTTCATCTCTCTGCACACTTGAAACGTTCATCTTTATCTTCCTCACATCAATGCTCCTTCATTCATTATTTCTGCAACTTCATCGCAACTCCTACAACATCAACATCTTCATCATTCTTGGCAACCGCAACATCAACATCTCTAACACTTCTCACTCTGGGCATCTTCATCAACATTATAACAATGCAATCACAACTTCATCAACATCAACGTAACAACTTCACAATGATAGAAGATTAATTGGAAGTGAAACGTAACTGACCTTTGGATTTCTTGTGCTATCGCCACGGTAGGAAGAGCCGTCGGAGCTACTCCGGTAGGTAATCCTAGAACGTATGTTTTCTCCATCTATTTTTAATATTTCTGCATACCACGATGTAGTTTGTGGTCTCTTGAATGTTTCTCCCAAGGCTTCAGGTATTGATTCGTTGTCCTGGAGATTTAATTTTAGTTCAAGAACCTAGGGTTTTTTTTAGGATTCTTTAGATATAGGAAGAATCGGGAAGAGTTGAAAGAAAAGAATGAGAGATTCGAAAAGGTGAGGAGGAACCTCTGTGGCCGTCGTCGAAGGCATGGCGGCACGATGTCACTAAGTCTGAACAAAGCATTTGAGAGGGAAGAAGTGTTTCGTTTAGAAAGTAGGTGAGTAGTCACAAGATGTAACCCTAATAACTCTAATACGACACCGTTCCCCATTCTTCTTCTTTCATTTTTTAATTTTTCTTTTCTATGAAAACAAATTGAATAATAATATGGAAAATGAATAAAAATTTGAGTAATCTGATGATGATGATGATGTTGGATTAGCTTAGGCTACGCTTGGGCCTTCGCTGCTACTCTTGCTTAAGCCCGATACACCAATTTTTTTTTGTACTCGGAATTTCCTAGGCACAAATATCTTGTTGGATTGCAAGTTAATTAGGCCTAGCGCCCTTACTTCAATACATGCCCAGAATCTAGTTCAACACCCCTTGATCAATTATACTTCCTATGTTTTTTTTAGATTTTGTTTAGTTTTAGTTTAAATTCCTTTTATAATAAAAATAATAGGAAAATACATATAATAAAAACAATAAAAAATATATAGATCTTGGGGATGCCTCTCATCATTTTAGGTAACAAAATAAAAAAAAATGAATAAATTTGTTGGATTTCTCATTTGATTTTTTTAGAAAATTTATTCCTGAACTTTTTCGATAACTTGAAATTTGTGATTCACCTTTGTTGGTTGAGATGAGTTTTATGCAGGTCCATTATTTGATATGCGGATGTGTTTTAGATTCTGATTGTGATGTATTTTCACACCGATGAAGTTTCGACACCTATTCCAAATATTCGATCTCTGATTGTTTGTTTGTTGATGCCAGCTCGTACGAAGTTCTCGGATTTCTTTACTTTGGTTGTACTTTTTGCGGACGTCATTGTTCGTTTGGTATTATACTTCTTCCAAGTTATATTTACGCATTTATCGCTTTTCTAGATATCATGAGAAGTAGGAAATAAAGAGCGTGCACTCGAAGTCGCTGTTTAAAGACCTGTAGCAGGCATTCCGCACTTCATTTCTTATATGTGTTATGCTTGTGTTTTTTTCCTTTCTTGTTGATCGATGAGTCACTCAATTTAGAAATCAAGATCACGACTTCTCTCTCAGTGCATGCTCCCTATAGGATTTTATCGCTTTCTTTTATTTCTTGTTGATAGATGAGTCACTCAATTTAGACATGGAGATCACGACTTCGCTCTCAGTGCATGTTCCTTATAGGATAGTTTTGTTAGATTTTCTTTGGCATGCTAACTTAGATAGGATCCCTCATTGTATGATAACATTAGGTTAAAGATAGGTTAGTCTCCCTTAGATGTTTTCTTCCCTTTTTTTTGCATAATTGCACTTAAAACTAAAACTTTTTTTTCTTGGAAAACATATAAAAAATGCTAAGTATATAAAAAAATTCTTTCCATGATAAAAAAAATACCAACCAATCCATTTCTTTTCGCCATCCGGCTTTTCTCTTCTAAGAGCATGTTACCTCCTTTCCACTACAGGTCATAAGTCTCCAAAGGTCGAGCAGCGGTGGAATGATCGAATGCAACATTGTTCATTTAAAAAATACAAACAAACAAAATATATGAGCCGAACTACGGTAGCTCTGATTTCTCAATAAGGATACGTAGGCATTGGGGTAGGGCCCAAGCGAGTACAAATTTATTTTCCATACATTCTTTCTCTTTTCTTTGCATGCATTCCATCTTAGTTTATAACCCTTAAGCATTAGATTGAACACACCCTTTGATTAGAATAACGAGAGTGGATCCCGTAGAGTACTATGGACGTGTGGGGTGCTAATACCTTCCCCTCGCGTAATAGACTCCCTTACCCAATATCTCAGTCGCAAGACCTTGATTTCCCCCTTTAGGTTTTTATTCGGTGATTTCCTTTCCCTTTCATATGGGATAAATAAATACTCAATGGCGACTTCGTTGATTTTACCGCTATAGAAAAAATGGCGACTTCACTCGGGAAAGACATGTCAACCAATTGCTGGTCCATTTCGTGAGTCATTCCTAATTCCCATTTTCTTTTCTTAGGGTGTTTATCATTATGATTTTACGGATTATTCATTTGTATATATTTGAGCATATGTTTGCATTGCATCTTTGTTGTTATTTGTTATATTGTTGATGTGGTGGTTTCTCTGTTTCTTGATGGGTGGGATGTTACTATGATGTGAAAGGCCCAATACCCAGGCCAAGTGGAAACAATAGGAACACTAGGAATAGAGTGGAACAGGAACGGCTAGTTGACTTAGGTTTCACTATGCCGCCATGTCGTCCATGCTCAGATGAGGTACAAACGAGGGGCTATCATTTTCACGTAGGTGATATGGCGATAGTTTCTCAGGAGTACCCTCGATTCTGAGTTACCATTGACCTTACCATGACCTAGTCTTTACCCGTTAGTGGGGAGGGAATAATCTTTACAGGTACAGATGGTGACTATACATGTTCCGTTGGTGACTTTGATTATACTGATGACTTTGATCCTTTATATTCTGAATTGGTCCGGACCTTTAGTCTTATTACATATGATAGTGGTTCTGTTATTAGTTCAACAACTATCCAGCATTGCAGAAACTTCGATCTTATGTTTATTGCACTTGCATCATGGAATATTTATTTTATAAAAGAAACGCAAAAATATATATATAACTGCCTAACCTGCATTTGCATTTCATTTCCAGGATTATTCTGAGGTCTGTCATCAGCATCAAAGATGGATAACAACATGAAGACAAATTCAGAGCCTCTTAGAAACATTGCTGCCTATCAGTTCCCATGCTTTGGTGGTCGATTGCGAGAGGTGGGAGCTCTTGTGAAAGAACCAAATGAAAAAGTTTTCAGAAGACAATATGGAAACTTATTGCCGTTGGTGAATGATGATTTTGAAGAATGGGTCGTGAGAACACTTCTTCAGTTCTATGATCCGCAGCTACGCTGTTTTACTTTCCGGGACTATCAATTGGCACCAACTCTCGAAGAGTATGTGCATATTATGGATGTCAAAGTGACCAACAGTATTCCTTTTGTTCGAGCACCAGAGAGTCCATACTATATGGCGATCACCAGAGCTCTTTATTTGACTCATGGTGAAGTTAAAAGTAATTGGATTAACAAAAGTGACACAAGCGGTCTCCCTCTGAATTATTTGATATCAAAGGCCAAGGGTTTTGCAAAGGACATGAATTGGACCGCGTTTAATGCACTGCTGGCACCAATGATTTAGAGTCTGGTCCTCTTCCCAGTATCTGAGAAGTTAGTGCATCTATCCGCATTGTATGTCTTCATGAACGGTAACCCCGTACCAACTCTACTCTCCGACACTTATTACACCATCCATTCCTGACATGGGAAGAAAGGGGAAGTCATGTGTTGAGCGACCGCACTTTATAAATGGTTGATGATGCATATGCCTACAAAAGGGCCTTTTGTTCTTGCTGTCGATTCATCTTTATGGTCTCAGCGTATCATGGGACTCACCTCATATGATATTGTTTGGAAAAGTGTGATAGGTTTGAAAGAGATCATTATAGGGTGTGGAGAATTCCCTAATGTCCCGCTTATAGGGACAAGGGGGTGCATTAATTATAACCCTATCCTAGCGCACCGTCAATTAGGATTCGCGATGTTAGATAGACCCAATGAGCGGGAGGTGATGGATACCGTTTATTTCGGTAAAGGGGAAGATAAAGTGTTGCTTGAAAAGGGGAAGATAGCATGGGGACATATTCGCCGTAAAGGGAAACTTTCTTTCAGCCAGAATGGAAGTGTAGCTTATGATACTTATACGAGCTGGATTTAGGATCGTGTGAGGGAAGTGCGGTTACCTTATAAAAGGGGGAGGTTTCTATATCCTCAACCTGATTTCGACCCATTAGCGGATGTTCAGGCGGACAATTCCTTATTCCGTATTGATTCGTTTCCTGTGCAGCCGGTCACAGAAGGATTAGAGTTCATGCCTGTAACATGTTTTAAGAATGTCAAGGCCGAAAACCTCAAACTCCAGGCTAGGCAGGAAGAAATGAATATGGATATGTCATTTGCCTTGCAAGACAAGAAGAATCTCATGAAAGAGGTTAAGCTAAAGAACCAGTTGCTAGAAAAACATGGTTTGCTTGAGCGGTCGAAAAGACCTAGGGTCGAGGGTTCTGATACTACCAGTCGACAGGTTGAAGAGCTACAGGCTAAGCATCAAGAGATAGAAAACCTTCGATTGGCTAAAAAGGAATTGGAAGCTAAGCATTGCGAGGAGGTTAAGATGTTAAAGAAAAAGTTGAAAGAGAAAGATCTTCGCTTGACTCAAGTTATGAAAGATTTGACAACAATCAAAGCCCAGGTAGCAAATAAAGACAAGGTTCCAGCAGAAGAGGAAAAAGTGGGAAATATAGATTCTGAGGATTGGGAACTCAAATATCATTGTTTGTTGGCGCTAGTGAAGAAGAGGGGCTTTGTGACTGGGGACCCTTTCTCTTAAAATGATTAGCCAGATAGTTAAGCTTAAGGAGAATTCTTTTTACTGCACTTATCTTTTTATGCTTGTTTTGATCGACAAGGTCACCGCCAGTCTTGTTGGACGGGGCCTCCTTAATGATTGACTCTATTTGTACTAAACCACTACCATATGGATGTTTGTTCGACTCTATGATATGAGCAGTTTCTACTATGATATTTTGCCTTTGTTTTGTTTTATCTTGTTGTTTATCCTACTGCTTATCGATGCTTGATGAAAAAACCAAAGGATTCTCCTGGAAATGATAAAACACTTCATGCATAATCATTCATCCATGCATACCATGTCATGACAGGTGGGTCACGACAGGTTTTCTTATCTTTGATTCGGGTTTCATTTGAGATTGCTACCACAAATTTTCATCGTTATAATACTCGAAGCACTTTTAAGAGACAGATGGAAAATCTCGAACAAGAGAATCGCGAACTGCGCGAAAAGGTTACTGCTTTGAGAACCGGGATGGCGAACTTGACTTCTTTGGTAGAGTCGCTGGTGGCTGCTCAGAATCA